GGGAGGGGTATTTCAAGTGCATCATTCCGGTAGAAATTAATAAAAGAAAAAAAAAACGATTTTTACACAACTGAGTATGTAAAATATCAAAGAGACATTTAATTAGATCGGTGATCGTACAATTGCGTTCAAAAAGGAACGTGAAGGATCCTCGCGCGTGCAGCGGGGACAGGCGATTTCGTTTTTCATCGATCGCGAAATACGACTCTTCGATAATTATTTCCTTTTTTTTTTATATAATCCTCACATATCCTAATTATACACAAGATCAAAAGGAATATCTACGCTCTCCATTTCACAGAGGGTGAACAACAACACAATTTGCATAAAGAATAGATATATAATCGTGATTAAAAGTTGCGACTTTTTATCTCCAGGATTTCGTCGTACCTCCGAAGCTCTCGTGTTTCTTTCCTTTCGAGAAATTTCTTCGTCATTTCTCTTCCCGATTCGTGCTCGATTGTAGAAGGGCGCGGAGACTCGCGTTCTGAGCAAATAATGGCGCAGCTACCTACTGTCCTTGGCGAGAAGCTCGAACGTCTACTAAAATGTGTAGAGCATGTCTGTGTAGCATTTGTACCATAAAAAATTAAGCTTAAGTGATTTTTTTTATACACTATACAGAGCATCATAGTTTGTCGTAACGTCGCGCGTTTCAACGAATTTCTCTCTGTCACTCCTCTAACGCGCCACGTCTATAACTTCCCTCTCGCCGAACGGGCATCTTGCGTCGCTCTCCCTTGCCTCGCCTGGCGGCGCGTAATCACCGAGCAACATGCGAGGAACTCGCGAGCGATAACAACAGGAGGGTGTACAAATACGCAGTCGTTATGTTACAACACGTCCGCCCGCCGCGGTTAATGGCGGCGGTCAACTTCAAGTTCGGAGTTCTAAATCCGTGCGTGGCGGCACGTGAAAACGGGCGACGTCTCATTCCCCGCCCGAGACGCCCGAGACACAAATGTTTATCACGTCCCGCCACGTCGCCTCTTGAGTTTGATTCACTAGCGTCGACTGCGGCTCCGAGATGTCCGACGTGACTGGACTTAGCGGTGGACTAGGTGTCGCCGGCGCCTCCTCGGACCGATTGCGCTCCGTCGTCGTTGCCTCCGCCGCGGCGTCCTGCTCGGTTTCGCCGTCGGCGAGCGACGCTTCCGACTGCGCGGAGCTGGGAGCCTTCGACAGCTGGGAATCTTGTGCTCGCAATGATATAGAACTACCTTTATTGCTACTGCCATCCTCACCTGGAAACCAACGAAGACAGAAACGTTAGTATCGTAATAATCGGTCTGCACGATGCAACGAGTGCATTTTTACTCAGAAAAGTCGAAAACGTGCGCGTATTTTATTAAACCAAAATCAAAGCATTCGATATTCTTACAGTAAATGATACATTTTAAAAAGAATTACATATTTTACAAAGAAAAACTATATAAATTACATTTAAAAAAAAAAGAAAATAAACTTCTTATTAAGTTGAATTTATGAATTTAAATATGAAAAAACTTTCTGATCAACTGATAATATTTCAAAAGTTATAATTATAAATGGACCAAAGATAATTAATTATTGACCAAGAACGTGACGAAATGTTACTCACCACAAGGCCTAAGAACGAGGTAGAAGAGCAGGTCGGAGAGGGATATTATACCGATCACTTTGTCGTCATCGTCGATCACTACTAGCCTGTGAACCTGAAAACATACGTGACGAAAAATGTAATAATTTTAGCAATTTGAACGGGAAGATTATGCTCAATTTAAAGAAACGCTCCCGCTACCTCCGCTCTGACAATCCTTTCCATTATAGTGAACAACGTCTCATCTAATTTGCAACTCTGAACGCCTTCGAACCATTCATTGCGGTGCTCGTTTGCTTCCCGTAGCGAAACGTCCAGATTATTGTACGTCTTTTCCGCCGCTAAGTTCTGAAAGTATATTTAAGCGTTAGCGCGTAAAATATATACTACAATTTGTCGCGGACGACGATTTAAAAGAAAAAAAAAAAGTGTGACTTACAATGACATCAAACTTCGAATAGATGTTTACTAATTTCCCCTCGGAGTCGACGATCGGCAACGCTGAAACTCTCCTCTCCACGAATTTTTTCAACGCTAAAATTATGCTAGTCTCCTCCGTGGCTGTTTCTATATTCTCGAAAGTGCCTATCCTCAACTCTCTCAGCGTTTTGTTGGTGAAAGATGGTTTCGGTAACTCGTGGATCTGTCAAATTGCACAGACGAATTTTAAAAAAAGACAGATTCGCAGCAGAGTGTTATTTGCTTGTGGGAGAAGAGAGACACGCATACTCACATATAGGAAAAGAAACCTAAGTATTCGCTTATGCGTCAAGATATAAAGGACGTTTCCGGTGTCGGGATCTATCACAGGCAATCGGTGGATTCGGTTTTGTATTAAGGTCCTGATAGCCTCGTACAGCGACGCGTCCGGCCCGATGCTGACAAGCGGGTGGACCTGATCCTTCAGGACTTCTGAAAATTCAACAGTTTTCTAAATATAATTTCTCGGTAATACGTAAACGTAATGGCAAGCACATTTATCGTTACGTATCATCTGGCGGGGCACTCGGACGGACTATAGTTTAATTATTCTGTTCACGCGACAACCGAGACAACGTCTCTTTCTCCATTGAGAAGAGGGGAACTTACTTCTCCACGTATCTAGTTCGTGCTCTTCCAACTCGTCCATTGTCACCGACGGACTGGTGTAATACATCTGCAGTATCTTTATGAAGTCCGTTATAGTGAGCATGCCGACAAACTGCTGCCGGGAACTGTCCCACAACGGCGCGGCCCTCACCCCTGAAAATATCGTTATCATATCAAAACCAGCGCTCCTCGCGCAAGCGGGGAGCGAACGTAATCGGACGGAGGGGGCAAACTTACCATTATAGACGAGAGCGAAGAAGGCCTTTTTAACGAGTAGATGTGTGTCGAAGACGACCAGCTTGGCGCTGGTCGGTATTAGGTCGTAGCATTTGTGGAACTTGAAGAACTTGACGAAGATCTGCGACTCGTCCTCCTCTGAAAGCCCAAACAGTTCGCAGTAGAGAAGAGCCTTCTGATTTCGGCGAAGCATAATTTTTGTGGCGGTGTGCGGTTGTTAAAACTTATAATTTTTTAACTTCGTATCGAACGCACGAAATTTATATTATCCTGGCGCTCGCAAGTATAACGCGAATGTTTAATTAATAATCCGCAAATTGTCCGCCACTAACGAATTAAGAGTTTCACACTGTGATTCCGAGATATGAGCATACACATTCGAGAAAACGGCGTCACCCGGTTTTTCTCCACGATTTTTACGAAATTGGGGAAACACCTAAAAAAAAACTTCCAGCGAAATCACCTTTGTAGTCCATTTTAAGCACGAATGGCGAATGAAATTCTGTTAATACGCATTTTCCTTTGATAATGTAACACCGATCTCAATGGCCTAATTTGAAGTTCGAACGGGTTAACGATATTATACAACGCAGTAATGGAACTTGATTAAATGATCGATAAATTGCGATTAGGCATCTCTCGGAAGCACCGATTATACATCCGGAGAGAGAGAGAGAGAGAGAGAGAGAGAGAGAGAGAGAGAGAGAGACCATCCGAGAGAGACATCCGTGAAATATCATCGATAACGCTTGATATTTTAAAGTGCGATAGATAAAGAGGGCCGCGGATAATACTGTTGTAAGCAGATAAGAGCCATATTGTCGCTCGCCAGAAGTAATTGTAATACCACCGATGAATAATATCACGAGGAAAATGATAGAAAATTGCATCAGAAGAACAATGGAATTACAGCAGATGCATCACCTCTCTCTCCCATTAGTTACGTGACGTCGTGAGAAAAAAGGAGGAGCTTCCAACTTCTAAGAACTGAATCACACGCAAAATGGAAGATGTAAAATAACACGCGTTTAAATCTGTATAATCGATAGATTCAGATTGAAATTAATTATATTAATAACACGAGGAACATTAAGAACTGACAACGCGACTCGGTATTTCAATTATACCGAGAGAAGAAAGACGGAAACTATCGAGCGTAGTTTTTTTTTACACGCCGTCAAAGGAGACGCGTCTTGAAACGGTAACCAAGAGACAGGCACGATGATAATGACGACAGACTCTTCACATTTACAACGACAGACTCTTCACATTTACACAGCGATCACTCCGGCAAAATGTTCCGGCGATTCTTTCGGGAAATAGTGCTCTCGCAGATGTTGGCACTTGCGCGATCTGGGCCGTTAGACAGAACCGGGGAACACGACGACTGCGGTACTACGACTGACCGCAGGCGAAGGAAAACGCAGCGAGGAGTCACGGGGAACAGCTGGCGGCGAGCGAAGCGAGTTGAAAGTACCCGTCGCGCGCGTGTATGTGTATCGATGTGTTGGGCACGTACCCGGAACGAATCAGCATCAACCGCTCGAAACCTGCGGCGGTCTCTCTCTCTCTCTCTCCCTTTCCCATCGCGCGGAATATTTCACAACGCGCGGCGTTGTGCGTACAAATCGCGCATCGTTTGCCGAGACGCGATCCGTACACAAGAGAATCGCGCGACCGCGGGAGGTCGATTTCGCTCGCTTTTGTGATGGACGAGAAACACTCCGGTAGAGTATATAGGACGCCCCATTACGACGCGAAACTCGATCGAACTCGCCGACCTAGAACCGAGACAATATTGACACTTCGTATCCGCCGACCGCAAGTGTCGTCCCGACGAGATTCGGTCGATTAAATTAACTGAAACCGAATGGAATGCGAGAGAGCGACGTGAAATCTACGTTGATTGCGAATCGTAAATATGCAGGCACCCTGCGTTTACGATCGCGCGGGTATACCTCTGGAGAGGATCCAAGCGAGCTCGTCCTCGAGGGGCGGGTTCTCCACCTCGAACTCCTTGATCAGGTCCTTCGAGTACACGGGATCGTCGTCCTGGCACCACCAGGCGGCCGCGACCTGCCTTAAAGCGGCGCGCACGCTCTCCGAGTCCGAGTAGTAGTGCAAGGCCAGCATTATTATTCAACATCGCCGCGTCGATTCCCCGCGAATGGCACGGATAAACATCCCCCGATCGACGGAAATTCGCCCAAAATACCCGTCGTTCTCCTCCTACCCGAGGACGTGCTTTCTTCGGCAGTGGCTCTTCGCTCCTCCGGAAAAAGCGCGCACGACGCACGAGTTACTCGTGCTTCAACCTCCTCGGGCCTCACATTTCGGTAATCCTGTGACGTAAGTCGACACGAAGGGCCGAATCCTTTCCCAATTTATCAACGAATCTCGCCGGCAACTATCTCGATTCCTTCACCGATAGTCTTCCCCGCGTCGCCATCAGGATCCCCTCCCTCTTATGATTCACAACGACGGATCTCTTTGTCGCTCTTCCACGCAGATTTCCACGCGAAATCGTCAGCCTCGTCGCTGGCGAACACCACGACTGCCCAAGTCGATCCGTCGTCAATAGCTCGCTCTCCGCTCTGTCTCTCTCTTTCGCTCTCGCGCTGGTTGGTCTCTTCTTCCTTCTTCTCCTCCTCGTCGTGGTCGTCGTCGTCGTTAACCATCGTTGCCAAGAATAACCTTCGCTGATGCGTCTTGCCAAAAGAGCGAGGCGCGCCAAGTTTCGCATCGCTTCCTTACGTTAAAACGTTTGTTTTTTTTCTTTCTCTTTAAATCAAACGCCGCGACGTAGAAAGTTAGGCATAGATGGTCCGATAACAATGCTCGCTATTTTGTAGAATGTAGATTAATTATGCATCAATCGGAATGTCCAGCAAAAACCATTGAATCCTGGATCTTATACGATTTAACTGTCCTCGTATTCCTTTCATCGCAAGCCTTTCTCATCGAGGCGACACGTTACGCGCTGCCCTTTCGAATTTCATTTCCTCGCCGTCCTTCTTAGGACGGCGCGTGCCTACACGTGCGCTCGCGAACGCGACATTTAATCTTGAACGTGCTGCAATCGAAGGCGAGGTTTCCGATCGAATGGGTTCGCGCCGGACAAAGGTCGACAGGATCGACGAGCGTCACTGGACCCGTAATCCGTATATATAACGTTCGAAAGAGGTTCATAGGGATCAACAGGAAGCGAGAGAAAAAGAGAGTCCCCTCTCGCCACACATGTAATAATAAACTACTTATTATCGAACCCTGCAGCGGATTCTAGCCCCATGACCTAGACCTAGATATAGCGGAGAAGCGCGCCAGTGCGACGTAGAATGCGAAGCGCGCCGTAGTACGGCGGAGCCGTGTGAAGCTGTGTGTATCGCGAGAGACACTCCCCCTCTCTCTCTCTCTCTCGCTCTTAACGCCACAGCTGGCCTCCCGGGAGCCTCATCGATCGCCCACCCATACACTGGGACGCCGTCGGAAGACCTAGTGCCACGATTTCAAAAGGGGAAAGCCATAACAAGGCACGGCGAAAACACGTGGAGTTTCGCATCGTGCCGGGTTCCGCCTTCCCGTTTGTGTCGTATCGCGCGGCGTATCGTCTTCCTTCAATTAAAATACGGTAAACGCACACCGCCATCTATTCGAGAAAATTAATTGAGCGATGATATTATATCCAAAAGACGTGAACTTTATACGAGTACTGCAATTCTTGATTAAATTGAAGAGTGCGGGGAAAAGGGATGTCGCGAACGCGCAAATTCAAGGCTTTTTGCATCGTGAAATTGACCTCTTGGAATCCTCGGAGTCTTTGATCGACGTTAAATTTATAACAACGTCGAGCGTTTGATACTAAATCGATTCTTCCGATAAAGGGAAATTTCTCTTCTCTTGGCGCGCGCGCGCGCACCACATATACATTCTCACACACACGCAGGCACATATATACGCATCTCGTATAGACAGTCTCTATTCACTTTAATATTCAATCCTCCAAGATCAATATAATCCGAATTAACGTTTCAATTGCATGCGTATGTGAGAGAGCCTACGACTTAAAAGCTTACTTGTTTCGAGCTGATTACGAGCATTCACGTTAGGATTATTTCGAGTAGATTTTCCGCTCGATTGAATCGAGTTACACAAAGCCCGAGTAAGAGCGTGTAAGAGCGTCTTCTAATATCACTTCGAGTGATTTTCCAAAGGAAAATTAGTGTCGCAAGTAAAACTCACCAAGATCGGACAGTGAGACTTTCTCCAGGAAGGGATCCACCACCGGCAGCTGCAAATTAGAGAAAGAAATTAGCGAAATTACATTCCGGAGTGCAATCATTGAGATCGTCGTTACAGGCGATAACGATTTCCTTTACGAAAAGAAAAGGATCCGCTCGTTGAGTTCCTAATTATTGTCGTTAAAAGTCACAGTGTTTTCAATTAAATCTCAATTAAATCTCAAAATCGATCTCCCCTTCTTTCTCAAACAGGATATAAAAAAACATCACGTGTGCCGAAGTAATTGTATTTTTCTTTCATATCTTCAAGAAACTCTCTGTCGCGAGAAACGCACACTATTTCCTCCCTTCTGTCATCCCGCCTTTTCACGATCGAGGATTTACGGAGCATTTACGGCGAATCACGGAGGGCTCAGGAAGGTCGTCTCTAGAGAAAAGTAAGCGGGAGATGTACCAGAGTCCGTTTCAGCAAGGATCTCGGGCTGAAGGTGTGCCGTCTCTTGATCTTCGTGTACCAGCTCGTGAGGACACCGGAGCCGGTGGCGTGCGCCACGTCCGAGCTCTTGGCGATACCTCCGGTCGGCTCGCTCGTTTGACGTCGGAACAACATCCTCGCGCGCCGAGGACGGAGGACGCTATTCCAAACGAAACCCGGTCGGAGCTCCTTAGAGGACTCCCTCGGGGGAATCCCTCGGTGAAGAGAACGCGATGCGCTTTCCGTGCGACGTTCCACAGTTCTTATCGATCACAGCCCCGATCACGCATACCCTTTCTCATCCTCGACCTCGACCTTGTCCTTGCCCTCGTCCTTGTCGTCGTCGTCGTCGGCGCGCGTCCTTCCCGTTTGGGATCCGCGGCGCGGATGAAACTCGGCGACGTCCGACCGCGGCGGGCCGGCCGATCGACTTCTCTCCTCAACGCAGTTCGCAGCCGCTGGATCTCGCGTCTACGCGACGCCCGTGTTTACGTCGTCGCGACGAGCGAAGAAGGCACGGCGTTAACACGTCCTCGCTTAACACCTCCGCCGGTGTTACCCGCGAGCGCGCCGTCCGGGATATTTTCGACGGTGGCATAACTCTTTCGCGCCGGCTGCTGCTGCGTGCGGGGCACAGGATAGAGTGTGCGACTGGCCGCGGCACACCACACACCCGTCGGCTAATTGCGCTGCAAGCCTGCCAAGAATTCGCGGCTCTGTCAATAGTCGCGGAGTCGCGGCACCGATAGTCGCGCGGCGAACGTCTCCCCGAGCACAAGACCGAGGCGCGATGACGTAACGCAATTTAGAATCTCTCCTCGCCGCGGTATCCGCCGCGAGGTCCGCGCTTCCTTCCCGCTTTTTTTCGCGAGCGAATCGATCGAATCCCCGCCGTCTCCTATAAGTCAACTCGGAGGGATTAACCTTCAGAGGAGTTATTTTTTAAATCTTACAACTTCTTTCTCGAGCAGATGTATCGTAATTTAAAATATGATACTGCGTCATTATAGTTTCTTTCTTTTTTTGGAGTACCCTTCTGGTGAAGGGAATTATTTATGCCTTCAACCTTTCTTTCAGATTATATAACACAAGTTCTCTCTTGTTCTTTTTATACAGCTTCTTACTGTAATATCTAAATCACTTTTTTGCTTTTTAAATAAAATTGTATAAACACATATAAACGTAAACCATTTTTTTTCTTTGACGGTCCTCTAATGGTATCGATAATGACCGAGAATGCTTTTAGATCTAAACGTAAGCTCTAAATCACTTTTTCTGTTCTTTAAATAAAATTGTATAAACACATATAAACGTAAACCCGACTTTTTCTTTGACAATCCTCTAATGGCATCGATATCACCGAGAATGCTTTTAGATCTAATGTAATAAGTTCTATATCCAGTCTTTTGTCCCTTCTTCGCACGGTAGCCCTCTAAAGGTTAATCTCGCGAAGCGCGGAATTTATTAGAGACACGGTACACTTCGCGCGGGAAACGACCGCGGCGACGAGAGGAGTTTTCGCGGGGATCTATATGTAGTACGTGCTCGCGGGACCGCCGGCGACCGCGTTTTAATTCGCATCGATCGAGTCGACAGGGTTGACAGCACCGGGCCGGCCCACGCGATTTTATTAAACGCCGAGCGCCAGCATCTCAAGGAAAAATAACGACAACGAGCTCGACGACGGGCGGGGGTCTTCGTTGTGGATCACCGGTTCGGAAAGCGCCACAGCCCCGCTTTTTTCTTCCCTCCCCGTGACCGACCTGACGGCCGGCAGGGTCATCTTTTTCCAACTAGCGCGACCGCCGGGCGCTCATTCGATCCGCGCCAAGAATAGTAGAACGATAGATAGTACGACACACGTAACACAAGTGTAATAAACAAACGTGCGATAAAGGAGGCGCCAAGCACCTCTCTACATATCTCTCTCTCGCGCGCGCGCGCTATATTTATTACATCATCAATAAGACCTGGTATTCGGCGAAGCGGGCAAAGTTTACTCGTACATGGAAAGAACAATTTTGCTAAATCCAGATCTGAAAATAATTTTTGTTCAATAATCAAAATAATTCTGTGCAAGAGTCAAAATGATTACTAGAATATCAAAATCATTTTATAGAAATATTTATCAGTTTTAACACTCCAACAAATTATTTTTACGATTGAACAAAAAATTATTTTCAGATCTGTATTTAGCAAAATTTTTAGACCTTTTAACAAAATCGTTCTTTCCGCGTAGGAGAGGGCAAAAGAAAAAGAAACGAAAATCGAAGGTGGCACGGCGCGAAACCGTACCGCATGCCCGATCGAATCTAAAAATAGGACGACATTCGCGGTTTTCCTGCGCGGAAATTTAACCGACAGTGACCACTGGGATCACGCACGGAGTTTTTTCCCTCCCTTTTTCTCGCTCCTTTCTTCTTCGTTGGTCGCACTTGAGATTGATTCAGTCGGCGGCGCGGTTCGCCGCTTCGCCGAGCGCGACAACGCGGAGAAAACGACGCTGCAGGCGGGCGTCGTCAGCCCGACGACGTGGCTCGTTATCGTTATATGGGCGTGTGTAACGCGCGGGAATTTTTTTTGCAATAACGGGCGTAGGCGCGCGCGCGCGCTGCGGGACGACGAAGTTTCGATACAACGCGCCGCACTGGGACGCTGCGTTCGTCCGCAAGGCCGCCGCGGGAGATAAAAAAAGTGCACGTTGCGTGCGTCACACACGCACGCGAGATGGAGGAGGTGAAGAGGTGGAGGAGGAGGGACGACGTCGCGCGCGACACTCGACGCGGCAACTTGTTGACGCGGTTCGTCCACACGCGAGGAGTGTGAACCGGAGCGGAAACCGCCGCCGCCGCCGCCGTCGCCGCCTCGCCGGGAGGAGCGAATCGGGCTCGATTTGCAAAACGCGGAGCGCGCCGGTTTTAAGGATGCTTGATTTGGATTTATATAAACGAGACGCCCACGCGCCAGAATTCCGCGAGAATTTCCGCGACGCACGCCGACAGACGAGCCGAGTGGGCAGAGATGCGCGATCTCGCAATATGTAGAATGTGAAATTAACGAATTCCCCTCCTCCCTCCCTCTCCCCAATTGCTATGCAACATGAGTTCGATTTACAGTCACGAACTGCATGCGATTTAAAATTGTTAACGCAGCTCCAAATCGCACTTGTAATCTTGTATTCAACGAAGCATTTATTCATTAAATATATTTATAAAAAATAAAAGTTTTATGTAAATAAAATTCTTATACAGATGGTATATATTCTATTTGCTCCTTTTTAAAGAGACTTTTAAAAATTTTTTATACACGTTTCATTGTACATCTCGATCCTTTTATGATGTAAATCGTATAAAAATTTAGAATTACACGCCTTTCAAAACCGTATCTGCAACGTCAACGAAACGACACGCGATTTAAAATTACATTTACGATACAAAATCACGCACAATTTCAGTATAATAGAAACCGTGACACGATGTATATCACATTCACAGCGATTCTCAAGAAAGGATCACGATACACACTATTTTATAGATCGCACATCTCTAGCCGTTCGAGCTCGCCGTTAAAGATCCCCCGACGCAGATTATCGGGCCCGTCCGTCTCGTACGACGCGATTCGCGATACGCTCGCTAAATATTATTTCGGCGGTGCCCTCCCCTTCCTCCCGCCCTCGCGTCGCGCGTAAATAGAGATTACGCGCGCCGAGCCCGAGACACAAGGTTTCGTTATCTGTGAAAAACGTTTGCGCGCCGCGGACGCGATTATAGGGGATCGCCCGCGGGCGTGTATTATATTTAAACTGGCGATTCGTTCGCCAGATGTGGGAAAGATGTGTCGAATTACTTCGGGATCTTTCTGGGAAACAAACGCGCGGCGGCGGCGGCGACGGCGTCAATTAACTCCGCGCGCGTGAGGATGCCGAGACCTCGTCGTTCGTCTCTCGCGCGCGCGTCACCGCGGAAGGCGCGGCCAATATTCGCGAGTCGGCCAGATGGGCAACGCGCGGGGCGTCTATAAATATATAATTCTGAATCGCAATTGTTTGCAAACAGCCGGATCGCAGCCGGCACGTCCGCAGGCCGCGGGAAGCTGTCCGAAAACGAAGCTCCGCCGAGGAGCGCCTTCTTCTCTCCGCCGCGTGCGGACGAGCTCTCGCCAATATATCCGATCACCGTGTACGTGTACCTTCCATCGTCGAGTACCACACGCGCACACGTCTCGATCAAGAGAGCGCGAGGAGACGCGACCTCATCGGTCCCGGCGATAATTATGACGCAATAAAAGAAGTCCGTCTTCCGCATGCATGCGGAAAACCAGTTTTTCCCCACTCTCCTCCGGGGGGGACCCGGGAGAGGAGAGTCCGGGGAGGGGCGGGGGGATGAAACGGGGCGAAGCGGCTCGCGCTGGGTTATTTCGAGACGTTATCGCGATTGTTTTGATAATCTCGCACCCATTGCTCGGCGCGCCACGACCGACTGGCCGTGAAAGCGGTCGAGAGAGAGAGAGAGAGAGAGAGAGAGAGAGAGAGAGAGAGAGAGAGAGAGAGAAAGAGCGAGGGTGGTCAGGTCAGGGCCGCGCGCCCGCCCGCCGAAGGGACGTGCGCCCGCTCGCACTGCTCCGAAACCGCGCTCCGTATATATTCGCGCTCTATCTATCGCTGCGCTCCGCGCGCGCACACATGCACGTATACATGTACGCACACATGTTTTTCTAGCAACAAGTGTTTGCGCGCCGTCGACCCGTCGCCGTCACCGTCACCATTCGAGGGATCTCACCGGAGAGATTAAACTACGTCGTTAACTTCGCCCCGAGAAAAGTCCCTCCTACTCCGCCCCTCGGCAGACTCCGCCGCGTTTCCAACTTCCGACCGTGTCAACTGTGGATTAGTGGATATACTGACCCCTGGCTAAACACCGGCGGCCCTGCGCGTGATCCGCGGAAAAAAAACTCGTCGAGAGAACTCTCGTTGCCGCGGTCCCACGACGGGAACGGCAATTACAATCTCGATCGCACCCTCGCGGAAACGCGAGCACGGTTAATCGAGCACTATCGTCGCCGTCGTCGGCGCCGATCTCGCGCGAGAGAGTCGACCGATTTCTCGGACACGCTGCACGCACATTCTCGGTCCTCTCTCCCTCTCTCTCTTTCTCTCGCTCTCGCACGAGAGGGAGAGAAAGAGAGCAGGCGAGAGAACTCTTAGGGGGAAAAAAAAACGGTTTCACCAAGAGACGGAAGAGCTCGAGAGAGGTGACAGGCGCGAATTGCGGGCCGACTCTCCGCGACACGGTTGACGGTCTGTCTATTTCGGTAACGGTAATCAGCGCGGCGAGATCGCGATCCCGCCCGGATCACGGTCGAGGTCGATTGTAGGACCGACCTCTGTGAGGTCGCGAGGACTCCTCGTGGAGGGAAGAGAAAGAGAGACGACGAGAGGCACGAACGATGCGCGAACGCGGGACTCGCGACGGCCGGTCGTCGGCTTCCTCGAAGGCTGCCCGATAGCCGCCAGCCTCGGTAGCTCGTGCTCAACTGGATCACACCGTCCAGGCCGGCGCCCGACGACGGCTCGTCGCGGCTCCCGCGACACACGTTGTTGTGTATGAAATTTACGGCGCATCGCTCATGTGCGCGTAGAAACGGGGGAGGCGCGCGCGGACGCGAGCCGGCCGCCTCCTCCGCGGGCTCCTCTTCTCCTCGTCGGCGCCTCCGCCGTGACCCGAGCAATTAATTAAATTCGCCGCGCGAATTATCTCGGATAATTTTAAGTGTTCCTCCGCCGCCCCGTGGGAAGGGAAAGGGCCGGAGAACAGAGAGAGAGAGAAAGAGAGAAAGCGTCCTCGGACGACGTTGCTTCCTTAGGGAGAGGCACACGAGAGTCCGCGAGGACCGCGGAGATCGCGACGCTTTCGCATGTGTCTCGGCTATAGAATGTATCTGTCGCGGCAACCATTGCGCGACGAGATAAGGCCGTCGATAAGCGTTTAAATATGTACTTAGCGCATGCAACGGGAAGGTAAAAGTAAACGGAAGGAACGGAAAGAGGGAGAGGAGAGCCATGAGTCCTCTCGTAAATTTGCGTACCGCTTACGAGGAAGAACGAATAATATTGGAGCTAATATTTATTCCGCGCGCCAACGATTACTCTTCTCTATACGTGATCAGAATGATCCCCCGACAGAGATGCTGCTGCCCGAGAGACTATTTTCTCAGAAGCGAAGTGTCTATATGTATCTACTATGTATGTATGTTTTTTAGATTGCAATTCAATCGCATAAATTGTTCAAGCTTCTCGGGAACAGATAAGACGGGACATACTGAAGGGAGAGAAGTCGCGAGAGATGCAATAACACGGGTCCCGTTGCGAGTACGGGCGATCTCGCGCAGATAAATCATCAACGCGCGGTAAATTCGCTCGGAAAAGTACTCTAGTTTATCGTCGGCAGGAAGTTCCCTTATCGACGCTCTTAAATCTCAGATTTTTCTCCCTGCTGCAAGGTAAGGCAGATCACAACGCGCCGGGCATACCACGTGTGAACGTGGAATATTTACATATCAAATTCCGTAACACTGTGACTTTTAGCGTCGAATGTTTAATTCAGGCTATACGGCGAGGATGCAATCGATAATTTGACGATCCACTTACCCCCCGCGCGTCCCTGAAGAGTATGGCAGCGTGAACCGGATCCAGGCAAGCGTCGGACGCTCTGTGAGGTATCGCGGGCGCCCCGAGGGATAATCTCCGTGCCGTGGGATCCAATGAACTCCTCCTGTGCGCGCCTGAAACCGAGCGGGTTGTATATAGTCGAGTGACGTAAAGACAAAGGGAAATTTTACAAAGCAAATAATTCATCGTACATGTATTGCAATTAGAATATAATATACATAATAATGTAGAACTTTATATTATTATTTGCATCAAATTATGTATTATAATATGTGATACATAATACACTAGAAAACGATATAAAATTTGATTGCACGTAGAATCGCATCCCAGAACCTCGTACTGGTCGTCAATTTATAACAAAAAAAAAAAAAAAAAAAAAAAAATTTTGTTAAAAAGAAAATACATCGATGCAAAAAAAATAAGCTCGTCGATGTTCTTCTTGTCATCCTGTATAATTAAGATAAGGACCGCTGAAAAATGAATACCTTACTTCAGACTTTATACCAGACTTATCAAAAATGTGATATCTCGTAAAATATTCAATTCTCGTCGCGTCCTCATTTTGATACTTTTTCATGTAGAATGATGAAAAGAGAATATTACAGATAATATACTTTTTTCTTCGCAATCTGCGAAGAAAAAAAATATGTTGTCCGTAGAGAAATGTATAGAAGGGAGAAGTGATTCCCTCCTGAAGTGGTCCTTCGTGAAATAAAAATATTTCCTCAATATTTAATATTTTCATCAGTATGAAAAGAATGGCTTTGCCGAAGTATCGAAATTTTAACTAAATATAGATCTGAGAATAACTTTGTTGGACCACGTCAAAATGATTACGTAGAGCGCTCTAGAACTGGCTGCTAAACTGTCGAAACTTTTCGTATATAGCATCGCTCGCACCGCTCGAGTTTCCTAACACTAACTATTTTGATGATCTACACAAAATTATTTCCCGTATCTAGCTAAATTTCTAGACACTTCAGCAAAACCGGCGTTATACGTTCCGCGCGCGCAACAATCGTATTTGTCAAGTTCAATTCAATCGGCGGTCCCGGTCGTGTCACATCACCACACACGTGTTTCTATCATTGTAAACAGTTCTAATTGGCTGCAATTAATCCAATCGTCTTGGGTTTCGGGCCGTAATAGTCCCCAGTGTAACGTTAGACAATCCATCGCGCGGACGCACGAAATTTGTCATGGTGATTATTATTACGTAAAACGTGACTCGTCATTTACATTCCCAATACCGCGCCCGGTGAAGAAATACGATCGAGACTGAGTCGCGTTCGCGTCCGGTGTATCTCTTTACTGACTGAATGGGATGGTATATGGATCGAATGTCGCGAAGCCCACACCGCGACGCGTCCCCTTTCGACACTCGTGCCGATTTCAATCGGCAACGCGATTTCACGCAATTATTCACTCTTCACAGCCTCCCGCCGGTCAATTTGTCGTTTTCCGAGGAAAATTATGTAAGAACATATCTGTTTGCGATGAATGCAAATATATAGCGTTTAGAATAGCCGGAACGAGTATTAATTTATGTCCATGTAAATGAGAGTTATCTGCATGTTGCAAAAAGAAAAAAGAAAAAGAAAAAAAGCGTTGCTTGAACTAAGCGTTACGTAATCGGCATTTATCCGAGTCACCGGTTTCTCGAGTCCATATGAAGAAAAAAAAAAGGTTTTTCTCCCGCGTGATATCATCCGGCCGTTTTCTTTCAAAGTGTAATCACCTGAGGAAACGCGGCGCGGACTCGCGACTTCTCCGTTCTTCGCGTTCGCCAATAAACGCGAGGCGTTCAATAAAGATCGACACACGACGCGCATCCGTCACCGCCCGACGAGACACCGTTCGTCAAAGGTTGTCGATATGACGCAATAAATGCGCGTCTCGTATAAGTGGAACGAGATCGAAATCGGAGCCACCGGGGCCCCGCCTGCGGAGGGACGTCGCCTTCGCGGCTTCGGTCCCTCCGTGCAGTGGATCTTGGAATTTTATTTCTCTCCCCCTCTCTCTCTCTCTCTCTCTCTCTCTCTCTCTCTCTCGACGCGAAGGCCGTTTGCGGCACGTTTCTACGATTAAATCCGCTTCCTCAGCGCGAGACGTCCCGAGCCGCGATATCCCGAGCGCGCTTTATCGGCGCGCGGTGTTTATTTCACGAGCGCGTTTCGCGATACGCGAGCGGCTCTCTCGCAAGAGCGAGGCGGATGTTAGCCAGACGCGCGTTTTGCGAATCGGTATATAGTTCGAATCGTCGCGACAAGATTTTTCGCGATCGCGCGTACAAATCAATCTGCAAAATCGGCAAGTTCTCTTCCCATCGCCTCCTTTTTACGAGGCGTAAAAAAAATGATTTCTATAATTAATTCTTATCAAATTTATAACAGTGCATCTTGTGAGATTTTCCGTGACCTTTGTTGCGACACGTAAATGATTAATGAACGACGGGATAAACGTGTTCGCTCCGCTCGCGGAAAATGTCAACTTGTGAAAGATCAATTGACGTTGGTCGTTCCCAAAGGGGGAAGGAAAGGGGGAGGGGGGAAAAACTGTTAGACAAAGCCAGTCCTGGAGGAGAACGCGACAGATCGAGGGGAATAACAATGTATACAATTTCCATTTTGTTACCTCGATTCGAAATTGAGTTATTTATGACGGCCACACCACCAGGAAAACAGCTCTATCGAGAGACACCCCGGGGTTTCTTTTTATAAATAAATACTAAGGATTAATAATGAGCCCGTTATACACAGCCCGTCGCAATTGTCATTTGCGGTAATATAACGCGATCGGGTCAAGGCAAGCCGCCACCACCAATAATCACCGAGCTTCATGAAGGCCGAGCTTGCGGGATGTAAGTGAATCGGGTGACCGTAAGCAAAAAATAGAATCGTTCGCGAAGATCGCGAGGAAACTGCTAGAGATGGTAATCGGGGGAGGAAGGGGGGAGAAGAAAAAAAAAGGAATTACGTCGCGCTAATATATACACGATATATACACGCCAGGCAGAAAAAGCGCCTCTTCTTTTGTCTCTCTTAAATACATTCACATTTAAGTGCAATCGGATATACGACCGTTTTTGTAGAGATCGACGCAAAAAAGTGTGCATCGCGCACACAAGTTCCGTAAGTAAATCCTCCAATTAAAGATTCGCGACGCGAGTTCTCGCTAAGAATATCCGCGATGAAGTGTAATACACCGCGCGGGTAGATACAGATTAACTCGCGCGGCTACAACAGGCGCCGCATTCTCGGTCCATATACAATGCGATTACAAGATTAATTGTTCCGATTAAACATTCGTCCGTGGCCGCGGCGCGTCTCACCGTTCCGGCCGTTTATTTGCGACGTTCGCCGCGCGCGTTACGTCGCGTCTGAATTGGCGTCGCGTATATAAATTGGCGTACATACCCCGGCGGGAGCGTGCGTGTAACAGAAACAATATCGTATACGCGGACGGCCAATTTAGCGACACGCGAGAGAAATTTCCGCACGCGCCCGGCGCGTACGTGGCCGGTACGAAAACACATTGCGCAACAGCAGCCGTATACGCGGCCGGAAAGTCGAAATAGCGTCTCGATCCCGCTCAAGAGAGATTAATTGCGGATTACCCACGCATTGATCCGTGTTTTTCCCTCCCCCTCCTCCGACTCTCATCTCTTTTCTTCCCGAGCACTTGAACCGAAGCGGTCAAAACGACCGGTTTCTAATTTCTCATATAAATAACGGTACTTTAGTTGTTTGTCCGATTTTTGTTACGACATGCAAGTGATTGATTGATCAATTTATTTGCTCCCTTTAAAAAAAAAACCTATATTTAAGTAGTAGAAATAAATACGTGCTAAGTGTATGTGAGCAGTTAAACAATGCTGTGCGTATCGAACAAGTAACTCATTTTCACGACATCGAAATGTATGTTGTACGTCATAATAATGTGTTCTTCTCGAAATACTCCTCTTTCTACGTCGTTAAAAAAATCCATCTTGGCAAATAAGGCACTGCGAGTCTCGACAGACTCGCGATTCTTGTGCTACGCAAAAGTTATATTTGCCTAGGAGGAACGGCGCGGTTCACCGAGGAGGGACGAGACCGTCGCGCGCATCGGCGTCGGGGATTCGCGTTCGCTCGCGTTACCTTGCCTGAGTATGCTCTCGTAGATCCTGTAGGTAGTCTCGCAGTCGGACTCTTGCGGCGCGCCGCCGGCAGCGGCGGCGGCGGCGGCGGGCTGATGCCTGGCGCCGCCGTCCAGGCTCTGACTCCTGTTCCGGAAGTCCTGGCTCCACCGTTTCTTCGGGCTCTCGCTGCTCTCGCTCTGCCGCCTGATGTGTCCCAGCCGCCGGCCGAAGTGCCGTATCATCTCCTGTATGCTGTGGTGATGATGCGGCTTCTCGTGCTCGTTGGTCGGGCTGGGCGACGTCGGCGACGCCTTACCGGTGCTCGCCGCCCGAGCATGGTGGTAGTGATGGTAGTGGTGAAGGGGATGATGGTGGATGTTACCGTGGATCGTGTGGTACACGGACGGCTGATGATTGGACACGTTCGAGCCGTAGGACGAGCCGTAGGACGACGAGCCGTACGAGTACGCGGAGCTCACCGAGCCGCGGGACACGTGCCGCTCGTGCAGATAAAGCCTGCCGCCGCTGCCATCGTGGTGGTGTTGTTGCGGCTGCTGCTGCTGTTGCTTCTGGTTCAACAGCTCCTGCAGGAACCTCGTGTCCTGATTGCGGATGTCCGACGACGCGGAGGAGGAGGAGATGGTGCTTCTCGTGTCACCGCCGCCATTCTCGGTGCCGTGATGATGGTGGGACAATAGGTGGCTTATTCCATGCATCTCTCACGAGACGGGACGATGTATCGCGCGAACAATGACTCTGATATCACCCACCCGTTGCGGAAGAAGCGGCCCGCTTCAAGTTCCGGAGCCGTTCATCGGCGCTGCGCGGAGAGAAGTCGGCGGGCGGAGGAGGATGGGGGAGTGGCGCGGAATCTGCGGAAGAACCGGCGTTCACCAGGCAATTTTCTCGCTGCCGCGCGGCAACGTAAATGTAACCGCCGTTTAATAGACACACGCGCGGCAACATCTCGCCGTTTCATCGATCGTTAAA